GCGGGGCGGGGGACAGGGGAGGGGGTCCTGAGCCGGGGCTGGGGGTCAGCAGGGACGGGGTGGGGCGGCAGGGGCCAGCGGGGCTGGGGACAGCAGGGCTGGGGACAGCTGGCTTTGGGCGACTGTCTCGTCCTTCCTGCAGAGCGGCTGAACATCCAGATCGTGTCTGCCCAGAGCCGCACTGGCCTGCTCACTGCCCAGGAGGCCCAGCGTGTCCGGCAGCTGCATGAGGAGAACCGGCAGCTCCTGCGCATCCCGCGGAGGTGAGTCCTGCAGGGCCGGGCCTGGATCTCCCTCTGCTCAGTGGGCTCAGCCCCTCTGTGACTGCAAGCCTGGGGACAGCCCTCTGCTTAGTCGATACCCTGTTGTCAGGGAAGCCGCTACCTCGCCTGCGTGAGCCTGCTGTAACCCACCGCACAGCTGCCTGCCTGCCATGCCGGTGCTGCCAGCCCCAGCCCATCTGTCCTGATGGTGCGGGTTTCCTGCTCAAAGCCTGGCACTGCTGGAGCTGGTGCATCCAGGCCACTTCATAAGCCTTTCCAGAGCACTGTGCGTGGTGGACAGAGAGAGATGAATCCCACATCTTAAATGCCCTACAAACTTTAGCTTGAAAAAACAGCTTTGTGAGATCTGGTGTGCATAGCATAGCGTGCTCTCAGCTAGTGGAGTTCAGAAGGAACAAGGAAAAAAGGTGTACTTAAAGCTGTTGAAAACAGGTGCATGCACGTCTGAACTGTAACCATCTTAGTGTAGCCAAATGTGTGGTGCCTGCGTTCTCTATGGATGTGTATTGAAGTAATGTAACCAGTCTAACTGCTACTTCTGACCACTCACTCCAAAATGTGCTTGTTACAGGCCAAATTGGGATAGGACAACCAGTGCAGAGGACTTGAAGCAAGCCGAGAGGGAGAGCTTTCTCGAATGGAGGCGACAGCTTGCCCAGTGAGTATGCCACTTGTGTCTGGGTGAGTAGCTGGTGGCATCTGGAGACACAGGCAGCAGTGGGTGCTGGAGCAATAAAATTAATGTCTCGTCAGTAGCTCCCTGTACTTGTTCTGGAAGGCTGGACATCCCAGCCTAGACACATCTTTGTGGTGAGCTCTGCAAAGCTCTTGTGTGTGCGTGTTCTTGTACTGTTTACAGTTAAAATTCTTCAGGATGGGGTGTGATGTTCTTTTGCCTGTGAAGTGGAGGAGAGGTGAATGTGTCTTCTGAGAGCAACAGTGCTGATCTGAATAGAGTGCAGTGCTGCCAGCCTGCGTACAGCAGCTTGGGCTGGTCTGGCGCTGCATCTGCTGGCCTGGAGAGTTAGGAGTTATCTGCTCACACCCCGTGAACCCGCGTTTGCCCTAAATAAAGTCATTCAGGCGGTGGTAACAGCAAGCCAAGGGTTGTATAGAGCCATTTCAGGTACCATCCCCAAATTCGTTATTTTTTCCAGGTGGTACTTGATGGAGTAATAACTGCTGGCATTTGGGATAACTTCTCTGGTTTATTATTGTCGCTCTGAAATTTCACGGGCAGACTTTTGATGAGTTTTTGCTCTTTCCATCATTTGCCGCTTCTCCATTGGCATGATCAGGAGCTATTGTGTCACTGCT